TTAATATACCAAATTCTTTTATTTTCATCAGTGCACAAAGTGCAACAAGCTAACAAGTCAATATGATGTACGATAATGAAGAAGGTAAAAATATGTCTAACAAGATTGCAGCGCACGCCGCGCAAAAAATTAACATGGCGGCGGAGGCGCTGGCGTTGTATGCATAAAATCAACTGAAAAATAAATATTTTTGCAGAGAATTTCGATGAAGAAAATGCAGAGGAAATCTCTCACGAGCTGTGGCAGGAGGCCTGCTGGATCGTGATCAACGCCTATTTTGACGAGAAAGGCCTTGTGCGTCAGCAGCTGGACAGCTTCGATGAGTTCATACAAATGTCTGTGCAGCGCATTGTTGAGGACTCGCCGGCCATTGAGCTGCAGGCTGAGGCCCAGCATACATCCGGCGAAGTGGAAACACCTCCCCGATTTTCCCTAAAATTCGAACAGATTTACCTGTCCAAGCCGACGCATTGGGAAAAGGATGGCTCACCCAGTCCTATGATGCCCAACGAGGCGCGCTTGCGCAATTTGACCTACTCAGCTCCGCTATATGTGGATATTACAAAGACAAAGAATGTCGAGGGCATGGAGCCCCTGGAGACGCAACATCAGAAAACCTTCATTGGCAAAATTCCCATCATGTTGAGATCAACATATTGTCTGCTCTCCCAACTCACCGATCGTGATTTGACTGAGCTTAACGAGTGCCCGCTAGATCCGGGTGGCTACTTCATCATAAACGGCTCGGAGAAAGTGCTCATCGCTCAGGAGAAGATGGCCACGAACACGGTGTACGTATTCAGCATGAAGGACGGCAAGTACGCCTTTAAAACGGAGATACGCTCCTGCCTGGAGCACAGCTCGCGTCCCACCTCCACGCTCTGGGTGAACATGATGGCGCGTGGCTCGCAAAACATCAAGAAATCGGCGATTGGACAGCGGATCATTGCCATTCTCCCGTACATTAAGCAAGAGATACCCATTATGATAGTTTTTCGTGCCCTGGGATTTGTGGCTGATCGCGATATTTTAGAGCACATTATATACGACTTTGACGATCCAGAGATGATGGAGATGGTGAAGCCCTCTCTAGACGAAGCTTTCGTGGTGCAGGAGCAGAATGTGGCCCTCAATTTCATCGGCGCTCGCGGCGCACGCCCCGGCGTTACCAAGGACAAGCGTATAAAGTATGCCAAGGAAATTCTGCAGAAGGAAATGTTGCCGCACGTTGGCGTCTCTGACTTTTGCGAGACAAAGAAGGCATATTTTCTAGGCTATATGGTGCATCGCTTGCTGCTGGCCTCGCTGGGTCGCCGAGAGCTCGACGATCGTGATCACTATGGCAACAAGCGCCTGGATCTTGCTGGTCCTCTGCTGGCCTTCCTCTTCCGTGGCCTCTTCAAGAACTTGATGAAGGAGGTGCGCATGTACACACAGAAGTTCATTGACCGCGGCAAGGACTTCAATTTGGAGCTGGCCATAAAAACAAATATTATCACTGACGGCCTGCGCTACTCGCTGGCTACCGGCAACTGGGGCGATCAGAAGAAGGCGCATCAGGCTCGCGCCGGCGTCTCGCAGGTGTTGAATCGTCTCACATTCGCTTCCACATTGTCCCATCTGCGTCGCGTAAACTCGCCCATTGGACGCGACGGCAAGCTGGCCAAGCCACGTCAATTGCATAACACACTGTGGGGCATGTTGTGCCCGGCAGAGACGCCTGAGGGCGCAGCTGTGGGCTTGGTAAAGAATCTGGCACTGATGGCCTACATATCTGTGGGCTCACAGCCGTCGCCGATTCTGGAGTTCTTGGAAGAGTGGTCCATGGAGAATCTGGAGGAAATCGCGCCCTCCGCGATTGCAGATGCTACCAAAATCTTCGTGAATGGCTGTTGGGTGGGCATACATCGAGATCCCGAGCAATTGATGGCCACCCTCCGTAAGCTGCGCCGTCAGATGGACATCATTGTATCAGAGGTGTCCATGATTCGCGACATTCGCGATCGTGAGATCCGAATCTACACAGATGCGGGTCGCATATGTAGACCTCTGCTTATTGTCGAGAATGGCACGCTGCTGTTGAAGAAGACCCACGTGGAGATGTTAAAGGAGCGAGACTACAACAACTACAGCTGGCAGGTGCTGGTTGCTTCCGGTGTCGTTGAATACATTGACACACTCGAGGAGGAGACGGTCATGATTGCCATGTCGCCCTACGATCTCAAGCAGGACAAGGACTACGCCTATTGTACCACGTACACTCACTGTGAAATTCATCCGGCCATGATATTGGGTGTTTGTGCTTCTATTATTCCCTTCCCCGATCACAACCAGAGTCCACGTAACACCTATCAAAGTGCTATGGGTAAGCAGGAGACGATTGCTCTGTATAAATTGTATATTAATAATTTCCCTCTATTTCCGGGCTCTAGGTAAGCAGGCTATGGGTGTTTATATAACCAACTTCCACGTACGTATGGACACCTTGGCGCACGTACTGTATTATCCCATGAAGCCATTGGTGACGACGCGATCCATGGAGTATCTGCGTTTCCGTGAGCTGCCTGCCGGCATCAATTCCATTGTGGCTATTTTGTGCTACACTGGCTACAACCAGGAGGATTCCGTTATCCTGAACGCCTCAGCTGTGGAGCGTGGCTTCTTCCGGTCGGTGTTCTATCGATCGTACAAGGATGCGGAGAACAAACGCGTGGGTGATCAAGAGGAGAACTTTGAGAAACCGCATCGCGGCACCTGCCAAGGCATGCGAAATGCTCATTATGACAAACTGGACGATGATGGCATCATTGCGCCTGGCATTCGCGTCTCTGGCGACGATGTCGTCATTGGCAAGACAATTACGCTGCCCGAGAACGACGATGAACTGGACAGCAATACAAAGCGATTCGCCAAGCGCGATGCCTCCACATTTTTGCGTAACTCTGAGACGGGCATTGTGGATCAAGTTATGCTGACACTAAACAGCGAGGGCTACAAGTTCTGCAAGATTCGTGTGCGTTCCGTGCGCATACCACAGATTGGCGACAAGTTCGCCTCTCGTCACGGACAGAAGGGTACATGCGGCATCCAGTATCGACAGGAGGACATGCCGTTCACCTGCGAGGGGCTAGCGCCAGATATTATCATCAATCCCCACGCCATTCCCTCTCGTATGACAATTGGCCATTTGATCGAGTGTCTGCAGGGAAAGCTTGGCTCCAATAAGGGCGAAATCGGCGACGCCACGCCCTTCAACGATGCCGTCAACGTACAAAAGATTTCTACTTTCCTTCAGGAGTACGGCTACCATCTGCGTGGCAATGAGGTCATGTACAATGGACACACTGGACGGAAAATCAATGCTCAGGTAAAGAATATTCTCGCTGTATGAATGAATGAATATTAAAACAATGTTGTCTGTCTGTTGCAGGTGTTTTTGGGCCCAACCTACTATCAGCGTCTCAAGCACATGGTGGACGACAAAATTCACTCACGTGCCCGTGGTCCAGTGCAGATCCTTGTGCGCCAGCCTATGGAGGGCAGAGCTCGTGACGGCGGCTTGCGTTTCGGCGAGATGGAGCGTGACTGTCAAATCTCTCACGGCGCCGCTCAGTTCCTGCGCGAACGACTGTTCGAAGTGTCCGATCCGTATCGCGTGCACATTTGCAACTTTTGCGGCCTGATTGCCATTGCCAATCTGCGCAACAATACGTTCGAGTGCAAAGGCTGCAAGAACAAGACGCAGATCTCGCAGGTGCGACTGCCGTACGCGGCCAAGCTGCTCTTCCAGGAGCTCATGTCCATGAACATAGCGCCGCGCCTGATGGTTAGCTGAGCTCCAGATAATTTATATTAATGTAATAAGCATCCCATCGGAGCTCTTTGTACTTCTTTTAGTAAATAATGATTTTCTCATAACTATGACCAACTTAAACCCTATGCGAATTGTATTTTCTACATTGTCTTCTAAGTCCATCTGGCAAGTGGAGCAAATGCGTGCGCAGATTTGTAAAGATGTGAACGTGTCTGAGACTCTTAAATAGCTTTGCGAAAGTCTGCATAAAGAGTTTACAATTTTTAAATAATCTGAACTGAAGAGATTTCTCAAATGAATCTTTCTGGTTTCATACAAAGCTTGTAACGTGTATTGAAGCAATGCAATATTTCAGAATTATTAACTATAAGAGAAGAGTTGGGAGTGCATAATTATGCACTCTAGCTACCTCTTTAAGACAAACTCTCAATATTGCCAATTTGTT